GTGGGAGCTAAATATTAAAACAATTGATCTCATGGAGACAGAGTAGAATGATAGTTACCAGAGGCTGGGAAGGGAAGAGGGGAATGGGGAGGACAAAGTGAGGGTGGTTAATGGGTGCACAAATATAGTTAGATAATTAGATAGAATGAACAATATTTGATAGCACAACAAAGTGACTGTGGTCAACAATAAGTTAGGGTTTACTTTAAAATAACTAAAAGAGTGGAATTGGAATGTTCCTAACACAAAGAAATGAAAAATCCTTGAGGCAATGGATACCCTAATTACACTGACTTGATTATTATTCATTGTATGCCTGTAACCAACAACCCATGTACCTTATAAATATCTGCAACTATTATATGCCCATAATTATAAATTTTAAATTTTTTAAATATATATATGACAAAGTTTATGGGAGGCTGTGCATACGTTCTATGCAAATACTACACCATTTTATATCAGGGACTTGAGCATCCACAGATTTTGGTATCCACGGGAGGTCCTGGTACAAATTCCCTGTGGATTCCAAGGCACGACGGTATGTACATACAATGGAATATTATTCAACCTTAAAAACGAAGGAAACCCTGCCATATGCAACCACACAGAAGAACCTTGAGAAAATTATGCTAAGTGAAATAAGCCAGTCACAGAAGGACAAATACTGCATGATTCCACTTATATGAGGTATCTAAAATAGTCGAACCCATAGAAGCAGAAAAAGCGGTGGTTGCTAGGGGGAGGGGGTGGGGGAAACCAGGAGTTGTTCAATGTGTATAAAGTTTCATTTATGCAAGATGAATAAATTCTAGAGATTTGCTCTAGAGTATTGTGCTTATAGTTAACTATACCATACTTAACTCTTAAAATTTTAAGAGGGCAAGTCTCAAGTTATCTGTTTTTACCATAATTAAAAAAGAAAAAAGATTGGCCATGTCAAGTGTTGGCCAGTATTTGGAGGAACTGGAACTCTCATGCACTGTTGGCCCTGTTGGTGGGAATTGTGAAGTGATACAACCACTTTGGAAAATAGTTTGGCAGTTTTCTAAAATGTTAAACGTGTTTACCGTATGATCCAACCATTCCACCCTTAGGTATTACCTAAGAGAACTGAAAGTATATATCCATACAAAGGTTTTTCATGAATGTTCATAGCAGCTTTATTTATAATACCCAAAAACTGGAAACAACCCAAACACCCATAAACATATGAATGAATAAACAAATGTAGTAGCCATACAGTGTAGCAATACTCAACAATAATAAGGAATGAATTATTGATACACACAACAATGTTAATGATTCTCAAAATAATTATACTAAGTGAAAGAAGTCAGACATGATACCATTTACATAAAATATACATGAAATTCTAAGAAATGCAAACTAATGTATGATGATAAAAAGCAGATCAGTGGTTGCCTGGGGGTGTGGAGGTGGAGGTAGAAGAAAATATAGCTGGGTAATGAAACTTAGGGTGTGACGTGCACGTTCCTTATCTTGATGGTGGTGGTTTCATGAGTGTATTCATGTCAAAATCTATCAAATTGTACATTTTAAATAGGTACAGTTTATTGCATGTCAAACTCCAATAAAGCTATTTTTTTAAGGTCTTAGCAAATTAGAAGGGATTTCAGACATATCCTCTGAGTAATGTCTTAGGATGATACGTAGATATAACGAAGATAAGAAATTGTATATATACATATGTAACTTACAATTCAATATTTTTAAATGCTATTAAATAGTAATAAATAACAATGATCAATGTTTGGAATCTTAAATTCCTTTAGGTGATCACTTAAGATTGAAAAAGAAGACCCGAGGAGAACCTTGGTGAAGCACTATACTGATTAGCTAGTCACTGGAGCAAATCTTGGCCCAAGAAGCATTCTAGAAGGGCTTTGGAAAGCAATAGTCCATGTGAGCCAATCCTGCTCCTTTTGAGGGAGCTGTAAATTCCCCCAAATCCTCCTCATTGACCTTCAAGAGGGTCAAGGTGAGTTCCACAAACTTCACATTTATGTTAGTCCATAAGATGCACCCATCTCAGCCTGTGCCTACAAAACATTGAGACCAAGAATGAAACTGACACCCAGACACTTCTGAAGCAAATTGCAGCCAAGAATTGGGGCCTGGTATGGATGCGGTGAAAAGGGAACGCTTATACATATACTGTTGGTGGGAATGTGAATTAGTACAACCTCTAAGGAAAAGAGCATGGAGATTTCTCAAAGAACTAAAAGTAGATCTACCATTTGATCCTGCAATCCCACAACTGGGTATCTACCCAAAGGAAAAGATATCACTATATCAAAAAGGTACCTGTACTTGTATGTTTATCACAGCACAATTCACAATCACAAGGATATGGAATCCATGCCCATCAACTGAGGAGTGGGTAAGGAAAATGTGCTATCTATATACCATGGAGTACTGCTCAGCCATAAGAAAGAATGAAATTATATCTTTTGCAGCAACATGGATGAAACTAGAAGCCATTACTCTAAGTGATTCAGGAATACAAAAATAAAGGCCCCATGTTCTCACTCACAAGCAGTAGCTAGGCTATGGCTGTGCAAGGGCACAAGGAGTGGTATAATGTTGGAGACTCAAAAGAAGGGAGAGTGGGGAGTAAGGGATGGAAAATTACCTATCGGGTACAGTGTACACGATTCAGGTGATGGGTACACTAAAATCCCAGACTTCACCACTATGTGATATATACATGCAACAGAATTCAACTTGCACCCCCTAAATCTATTGAAATTTTTACAAAAGAATAAAAACATTTACAAAATTTTTTTTTATAAAAAGAATTGGGCCTGGGAGAAGGAGAAGGAAGTGTGCATAAGGGCAGATATCGGTTAAGGGTATGCACTCTGGAGCAAGAAAGATCTGAGGTCAGAAACACCCTAGTCTGCCATTTTCTTGCTACATAATTTGGGAAGTCGCATAATCTGTTTCGGTCTTGATTTTGTTCTGTTTTTTTTTTCTTTTGCTAAATGGGGTCAATAATAATTACACTCCATTAAAGTTGTTAGGAGAACTAAAATAAATGATTCATGTAAAGCTTTTAGCATAGTATCTAGCATATGGTAAGTGTGCATTAGCTTAAGAGTTAAGTTAAAAAATTATTAGTGAACTCTCCACTTCTGGAAGAATCCAGATTTAAAGTTAATCTGGGCCAGGAGGGACTATTCCAAATAGTTCTGAAATAAAAGAGGCCCACAGAGAAGCTATGGGTTCCTCTGCCTGTCACTACTCACCAGGCTGTGGAGCCTGGATGATAACCGTAATACACTAGTTAATGTTTAGGAAACTTAGCAAATGCCTTCCCATTCTCCAAATGTCCCAAGTTATTGTGAGAGCAAATGAGATTCATGTAAAGCGTGGCCCAGAGTAAGTGCTCAATAAGTATTATTTCACAGATCAGAAGTAGGCTGAAAGGCACTAATTCATCTGAAGATGTATTGTAAAGAAGTCACAGACTGTATAATTTTGGTGACAAATCCCGAGTTCTTTTTACAACACAAATATGTCTAACATCCACCACAGAAGCTGATGTGTTACGGGAACATTTTCATGGCAGTTAATATTTGAAAAACGGCCTCCAAGATGCACTCTGTGAGGTTGTTTTGCCCTGTTCTGTAGTTTTTTAAGTGATTTCTGCAAAGATTCCAACAAAAGCTGATGTGTGAACCCAAATATCTTGGCCCCCAGTGCCATTGTTTTCCTATATCTTTTTCTAATCATGCCCAGCAAACTCTTTTCTAAAATATTTATCATATCTTCTTAACATGAAAGTTTCTAGAATTCAGAAGTTGCTGTTTATTTAATCTGCACACTTCACTTTCTCATGCACAACTACACACACACACACACAATACAACACTAGCATACAGGGGCTATAAAATGAATGTTGCTGACTGTCATCTACCTTCACAGATTGAACTTTTGCCTTTTTTTACTAGATAAAAGGAAAAAGAAAAGTGCAATAACAATAAATTCCGGGTTGAGTGCTTATATGCAGGAGGTGGTAGATAACAGCTAGAGACAGTGTGTGTGGCAGGTAAGTGTTCAGACCTCAAGGAGGAAGCCCCACTCGACCACTTGCTTGCTCGCCTTGAGAAAAATCACTCAATCTCTCTAAGCCCGAAGTGCCTCATCTACCTACAAAGCAGAGATAATAACAGAACATGCCTCATTGGGATGTTCAGCACATTAAATCAAATCCTACAGCAAATTTATGGTAATTCCTGGGAGGTAATAAGGCCTAATAAATGTTAGTTGCTATTATTATTATTTCCACAATTTTTCTTCTTATTATATATTATTAAAAACCCGCAGAAAGAATAAGAAGGCAAACATCGAAAAAGAATAAATGATAAGCTTTGGAAAATCCCTTTGGATCAAAACAGCAGTTGCATTTGCAGATAGCTCCATAATTAATTTTCCTGGTATTTTTGCTTTACTTGCCAAGTATTTGTTGTGCCAACTAATGTGCTTGGGTTCAGCAGAGACAACTGAATAAGACAGAGGTGATTTTTGTCCATCCATGCCTTGGATCTTCAAAACTATAGTTCTATAAAGTAGATAAATGCACTTGGCAGATAAGAAAACTGAGAACTGAAGAAGCTGAAACGTAAAGGTAGATTCATTCATTTATTCAACAAGTGTTTACTGAGTGTCTCTCGTGTGCTAAAGTGCTTTGCTAGGCACTGGGCATACAGAAATGAAGCTCACGGAGAAAATGCTTGCTGTAATGTTGCTCACTTTCTAGCTGTGAGGATTAGACAATATCAAACACACAGAACATCCAGTATGTCAGACGGGGATAAGCATTACATAGAATAACGCATCAGAAAGGAGGGGTGGAGAGTTTGGGTGTGATTTTAAGTCGAGTTGTCCAGGAAAGCCTCCCCAAGAAGGAGATATTTGAGGAAAGACAGAAAGGATAGAGAAACTGAGGAATGACATATTTCACAAGGATCCATCTAAGGCCTCCCGGAAGCCCTTGGTCTGCTCAGGGATTTCACGACAGCCTGCTTTACCTCCTTATTCCTCAGGCTGTAGATGAGGGGATTCAGCATTGGGGTCACCACTGTGTAGAGCACAGACACCACTCGGTCTCCCTCCGAGGACCGGCCCGAGTCATCGCGCAGGTACATGAAGATGAGGGTGCCGAAGAAGAGAGCGACGGCCGTGAGGTGGGAGGCGCAGGTGGAGAAGGTCTTGGCCCGGCCTCCAGGCGAGCGGATCTGCATGACGGCCGCGATGATGAACAGGTAGGACACCAAGACCACCAAGATGCAAGCAGGCATGACAAAAACGGCAAACACAATAATCACCACCTCTTGGGTGAAGCTGTCCCCGCAAGTGAGTTTCAGCAGAGGGGGGAGGTCGCAGAAGATGAAGTTGATCTCGTTGCTTCCGCAAAAGCAGAGAGTGAAGGCCGTGACCGTGCGAACGAAGGCGCTGCAAAAGCCAGCAACGTAAGCCCCAACTACTAAGCCCACGCGGGCCCTCTCCGTCATGACGGTGACATAAAGCAGGGGCTGGCACACGGCTACGTAGCGGTCGTACGCCATGATCGCCAAGAGGTAGCAGTCGACGGAGGCGAAGAAGGTGAAGAGGAAGAACTGAGCCGCACAGCGCGCTCGGGAGATGAGCGCGCCGTGCTCCCACAGCACAGCCAGCATCTGAGGGACGACGGCGGAGGAGTAGCAGATGTCCACCGAGGAGAGGTGGCTGAGGAAGAAGTACATCGGGGTGTGGAGCCGGCGGGCTTTGCGGATCAGGATGATCATCCCTGCGTTCCCCAGCAGAGTGGCAAGATAGAAACCCAAAAACACCAGGAAGAGAGGAAGCCCCCACTCGGGATGCTCGGTGAACGCAATGAGGAAGAATTCAGTCACTGGGGTGTAATTCCTGGCAGCCATCCATGCAGCAGTTCACCCGGGAGGGTTCAGACAAGAGCCGGATGAGAGGACCCCTCAAGAGAAGTTCAAGTGATTTCAAGTAACAAAGCTTTACGCGGAGTGTCTGACACGTGGGTACTCGACTTCAACAAACTTTGCAGCCTAAGGTAGGTAAATACAATACAGAGCTCACCATGATATGAGATAAAAAGTGATGAATGTTTCTATCACAGAAAGAACAGAGAGCAAGCGGTTCCCTGACTTACAAGTCAGCTCTTGTATTTGCAACTCTGTCCCCAATTAGCTGTTTGATTCTACACAAGGCACTTAACCTCTCTGAACCTCAATTTCCTCCTCTGCCAAAAGGGAACCATAATATCTGCGCTGCTTGTGAGATGAGGTTAATGCATAGGTTAAAACAGATGCAAAAGTGCATTGTAACTCTAAAAGCACTCCCATACAGAAAGTGGCTATTTAAATTTTTAAATGAACGTTTTAAGGAAGGAAAATTTATATTCCATCAACAAAAGAGTATGCGCCCAAAAAAATCCATTAACAATCAGTAATGGCTCTGCTTGTAGGAATATTTCTATTCTCAGTGTAACGACATGCATGTTTAACAAACAGCTGTTGTTCTAATTAGAGTTGGCTGGATTATTAAGGGTGTACACAAACACACACACACACACACACACACACACAGAAACACATGCTAGCATTAACCTTGGAATCAAGAGCAAACATGAGCTCCTGTAGGCACCTAACAAAGCTCCATAAGCATTGTTTGGTTGTTCTCAAAGTCCCTAATGAATGCAGGAGTTTGATTTAAAAAACAACAACAACAAAAAAAACAGCGTCCAAATTTGAAACAGAGGAAGCAGAAATATTTCTGCAGTCTAGTGTTGTCTGAGTGCTGTTGGAGGAATCTGGGTTAATGGATCTGGGAGTCCTTAGGAGAGTTCTAGAACAAGGCTATAAAGAAGGGCTTTGATAATGTCTGAGCTCCTGATGCCCCGGCACCCAGGCCAATACCAAGCTGACCCGTTAGGGATAATAACGAAGAAAAGAAAGTAGATCTGGAAGCCATGAGCTGGACATGAACCATCCTAACCTGAATTCCACTTTGCTAGTGCCCTCCTCTTTTGTTTGGTACTTTCCCTGCCTGTGACCTGCCAACCCAGAGGACACCTCGGTTCTAGTTCACTCATACTACATGTGTGAACCTGGGCAAGTCATTTTTCCTCTCTGGGCTTCAATTACCTTGTCTTTGTTCCTTTTCAGTACACAACAATGCAGCATGTGTCCATGACCACTGGTTGATATGGGGTCACTTCTAGTACCTCTGTGTCTTATTCTCACTTCTGTAGTCTCTGTCCTCCCCACCCACTGTGACAAAGCAATATATCCCTGACTCTAGAGCTTCCTGGGATTTTTTTCAGACTCAGCCCAAGATAATAGGGAACCAGCCTCTGTCTGTCCCTGAGCTCCCGATTTAGCACTGGACTTTGCTGGTGGTGCCTCTTATATTCACTGCCCCAGCATCATGCCCTAATTGGTTCCTGAGGGGACTCCCCAGAGAGAGGTGATTTATCTTCATGTGACTTCCTAACAAGAGATCTAATATCTTTGAAGGTCTCTCTTTAATTTCAAACATCCAAAGCCCCATCCCACATCCTACCATCCCTCAGCAGAGACTAATGGAGCTGGTTCCGAATCTTGCCTTCTTCCTGCCTTGTACCAGAAGGAATTTCTTTGAAGTTTTCCTATATATCTCAGTTGGGAATTTTGTGAGGGGTTTTACATAATGCCACCCTAGCCAGCTATGACCCGATCCCCAAAAGAGGCTGTTTTTATAAGCATAAGCTTTGGCTCCCCATAGCCAAGACATGCTATGATTGGTGACTGTGAAAGTTCACCATTTGGCAGAAGCAGAGAATGGTGCAGGTGGGGAGTCACAAGACAAGATGTTAGAGTGGCAGGTGTGGGCGGACTGTGAACAGACTTCCATCAGGCAAACCAAGCAAATTCTTGACGGTGACCAACCCTTACACCAGAGCACTGGCTCTCAGACTTCAATGTGCATAAGAATGATCCAGGGAATTTGTTTAAAATGTGAATATGAGTGCCCCAACTCTGCAGATTCGAATGTAGTACATCTGCCACGACAGCAGGCATCTGCATTGTTAACAGGCATCCCAGGTGATTTCTATGCAGGTAATCTCCAAAAATTATAGGGGCAGTAACTTGGAGCTCTAGCCCTGTTTGACTTTAAACTGAAGTAAAATAATAAATATATGTATGATTTTTCCCAGGTCCTACAAGTGCCTTTCTTCCTCACAGGAGACCTGAGGCAGGATGAGTTTGATGTTTCCCTGCCTTATAAGTTAAAAAAAAAAAAAAAACTAGATACATAAAAGTCTATGAAGCTTCTGAGTGGTCAAACAATGACTTTAACCAGGTCAGTGTTCTGTTGACAGAGTCTGTCCAGAAGACGGCACAAGACAGGAGGACTCCAGGGCACTGATACTCAAACTTCACTGCACATTAGAATCATCTGGGAAACTTTTTAAATTCCCAAGGCCCCAATTATACCCCTTAACAGTTAAATCAGATTGTCTGAGTGTAGGAGCCAGACACCAGTATTTTTTCTAATTCCCAAGTAACTACAATGTGCAGCAAAGTTTGAAAACCACTACCAGAAGGCTCCTACTTTGCAAAACCCTACATTTCCCCAGATATCTTAGGTAGACATTCTAGGGAGGAAAACAGATTTCTTTTCTCGTAAGTTTATAGATCACCGCATACTGTATTACTCACATGGGAAATTCTATTGCATATCAGCATATTTAAGGATCTATAAAGTCTTATAATTTAAAAACCTCATCAACTTTCCCTAACCCACCGTTTCCAAAAGAATTTGACCACAGAACCTCTTTTTCATTAGCATCCTACGGAACTAGAGTTCCTAGGGAAGGATGATCCTTCAGCAGTGCAGCTCTAAAGAGGCACAGAAATGCCAAACAGCAAAGTAGTAATTATTCTAAGAAACAGCATCTCCTGATGATTCATCTAAGTATCTGGCTCCTTTAAGTCTGTCAGACTGGCTCCCCCAAGAGCAACAGCTCCTACTGGGAAAGGAATTAGGAAGGAGTCCGGGGGGAAAACAACATCCTTCCAAATGGATCCCTCAGCGGCTATGGAAGAGGAAACCATTTTGTCCTTTAAAGACAGACTCTCCCTTCCGTTGTGAAGTGGGTCTAATGGCTGAGCCCCTACAGTTCTATTAAATACTTTATCAATAATAGTGACTCAGCCTGAGATAATAAGGGACCAGCCTCTCTCTCTCTCCCTGAACTCCTGATTTAGCACTGGACTTCACTGGTGGTGCTTCTTATATTCACTGCCCCAGCATCATGCTCTAATTGGTTCCTGAGTGAAACAGGCTGTGGAGGCCATCATACCCCTGCTTTCAGACAGCTACAGTTGAATTTTGAACCCCTGGTTTATTTGATTAGGTTGATTGAATCTTTCTACAGTGTATACATAGATCAAAACATCACGTCATACCCCATAAATATACACAATTATTATTTGTCAATTAAAATTTGTAAATGGTTTTTTAAAAACACTATCAGAATGATTATTAAGATGGTTCAGGCAGCATTTAGCCAGCCCCAGAAGAGAAGCAAAATGAACCTTAAAGAGTGAAGATCAAAATTTCATATATAGGGCCCATAAAACTAAAGTGAAAGGAGTTCAGAGAATTTTTTTCCTTGAGACTACTGAGACATGGAGCAAAAGAAAGAAAGAATTAAAAAAAAAAAAGAAAAGAGAACTTTTTCTTAAGACCTACAGATTTGACCAAAATTTAGAAGGGAAATCCAACGGGATAATGATAGTGAAGACTATTTTAGCTGCTTACTATATGCTAATTCATTCTTCTGACAGAGGATAGATGATGATGATGATATGATGACAATAGAGAGAGAGAGAGAGAAAGAGAGAGAGAGAGAGAGAGATGATAGAGGCATATATTAGCTCATTTAATCTATGCAATAATCCTATGAGTTAGGTACTATTATCTCCATTTTAAGGACATGAGAAAATTTAGGCACAGAGAGTTGAAGTTGACCAATAGTCCCCACAGTAAGTGGCAGAATGAGGGTTTAAACTCAAGCAGTCTGGCTCCAGAATTCACACTCCTAACTCCTATACACTGCTGCAATCCTCAAAAGGATGTCTCTGAACTCAATGTTTGGGAATAATTGAGGGATTCTTCCTTCTATGTCTGTATTTTCCTTCTAGCCTTTTAGAAAGAAGGAAACTTGGCTTAAAGACAAGACTTAAGTTGCAGAGTGAGTAGATCGTGGTAGAAAATACTCAAGGCATGTGGCCAGGCACTTGCTCCTTCTGTGGGTGTGAAGTCCCACTCACAGCCCCCAGTGAAGGGGTGGACTGAGCATCCATCCACCTTAGCCCCAGGTATCCTCACCTTTATAGCCATAGCTGATTGGATAAGAAGACCCTATCTGAGTGGTTGCAAGAAATAACCCTTTCTTCTTCCAAAAAGCTCTTTTCTTGAACTACTTTAAGTGGATACCCATTTCTTACAGCCAAAAATTCATGACTTGTGGCCTGGAGGGGATGCTAAGAAGGATATATAGAGGACATATGTTCAGATCTCACCTTGGGATCCATCTTCATCTTCCCCCATCCCGACTTGGGTGGATCTCATGCCAATTCAACGCTGAGGAACATCTAGTGCCTATAAATTTGCTTTGGAAGGATTTTGGAAGGACTTATCCTGCTGCAAAATTTCCCCTTTCAATTCATCATTGGTATCCCTGCCCTTACTTTACATATTCTGGAACTGCAGAATTTTTATAGGCTCTCATAAGATACTGTAACCAAAGGGGATGGTTAGAGGTCAAAAGACCCAGACTTTCCAATTCTCAAATAGGTGGAGGCCCCCAAATAGGAAGACAGTTAATGGTTGTATCAGTTCATTTGAGTCCTAGTCT